GGGGAGCTGGGAGTTCAAGTATCAAGCTGCCTCTCTGGCAACTGTGTGTGTGTGTGTATGTGTTAAAGTCTGTTTCAGCTGCTTTAAAAATAGAACTTCTACTCTGAGGTTTTTTATGAAGTGTTTGATTGTAAATATTAAGAAGGAGCAAGTTTACAGTTTGGAATATGTTTCTGTATTTAACTGATTATAAAAGAACATAAAACGGGCAGGAAAAATCTGGCATTTTTAGTCTCCTTGTTAAGATTTCAGTTGATAATAATCACTATACAAAGCAAGAAATCAATATTTTTTCTTTTGTGTTAAAAAAGTTTCTCAAAAACAAAGGAAGAAGCCAGCTAAGACTGCCTTTCTGCCCTTCCCTCTGTTTCATGCCTCACCTCTGCTCTCCTGTTTATTCCTTTCCTTACTAGCTACTAGTAACAATAACAACAGCAACCCCAGAGGCCATGCAGGAAAAGCACAAAGCACCCCAAAAATAATGGTTATTCAGCCTTTGTAGTAGTAGTAGTAACAATAAGAACGAGCTGCTTATCTGTAACCGTGTTTCTTCGAGTGGTCATATCTGAAATTTGCACATATAGGTCTTCCACGCATGCATGAAGCAGTTGGATATTCTCTAGAAGCTCTAACTGAAACATTTTGGCAGTAGCCCCTCTCATTCTCTCCAGGATGGTATATAGCCAGTGGGAGAAACTATACAGAAACTATACAGAAACAGCTACGGATACCAAGGCATGATGAACAGCTGGGAGAATGGGTGGGGATGTGCAAATTTCACAGATGACCACTTGAAGAAACATGGTTACAGGTAAGCAAGCCATACTTCTTCTTCCTGGTCTCTGCGAAATCGCACATATGGGGTGATGAGCAAGCTACTCATCACTCATGAAGTGGGGAGTCATGCCACACAAGAGAAGAGGAAAACTCTGGCAAAAACAGCATCCTTCCTGGAAAAGGAGTCCACTTTGTAGTGGGAGATAAGGGAAAGGGGGGTGGACCACATTGCCGCACAGCAGATGTGTTCCAGAGGTATGCCCTTCAAAAACGCTCGAGAAGTAGCTACTGCTCTTGTTGAGTGGCCCTTGACTTGAGGTGGAAGATCTTGATGTGAAAGCTGGTAAGCAACGCAAATCATGGCAATAATCCAGGAGGACAAATGTTGTATTGATATCAAGAAGCTAATAACATCCCTGCGATATTTCAGAAAGCGCTTGGGTGATTTCCTGTGCGTGGATGTTCTATGCACATAAGAAGTCAGGGCCCTTCTAATGCTCAGCAACTGAAGGGATTGTTCGAGGGAAAAAGAGGGGTTCTGGAAGAACACCAGCAAGATGATGTCTAGGGACATGTGAAAGTGAGAAACAACTTTGGGCAGGAACCAAATGTCTGTACAGAGGACTACTTTGTCTTTATTGAAAAATAGGCAAGGCTTGTCTACCTGAAGGGCACAGAGTTTGCTGGCCCAGCTTGCAGACATAACAGCTACAAGGAAGGCGGTTTTCCAGGATAGGTAAGAGAGGTTCACCGATGTCAGAGGTTTAAAGAGAGATTAAAAGAATTGAGATAAGTTCTAAACTCCACACTGGGGCCAGGAGGCATGCTGGAGAACAAACATTCTTATAAACCTTTAGAAACTGTTGGACCAAAGGAGTCAAGAAACAGGAGAGGTGACTAACTTTTCTCTGTTACCATGAGATTGCCACAAGGTAGCATTTCTGAGAGGAAAGGGAAAGTCCTGCACTTGACAAGGATATCAGGAAGTCAAGAATCATTAACATAGTTGCAGAAAGAGATTCGACATTGGCATGTTTCAGGAAGGAGGTAAAGTGATGTCACTTGTATGTATAGGCACACTTAGTAGACACCTTTTAGGCAGCCTGAATTATGAGTTTCACAGCATGGGAGACGCTTGGCGTGGACGTATCCTCCAGGCTGTAAGGTGCAGGGACTGTACATCTGGATGGTGCACCTGGCCATTCTGGCAGGTAAGTCTGGTCGGTATTGCAGGTGGTGAAACTCATTCTGGGATACCTGAAGAAGTGGAGCACACCAAGCTTGCCGCAGCTACCACGGGGTGATGAGAATACAGTCTAGGTTGTCTGCTAGTAACTTTGCCAGGGTCCTTATTATCAGAAGTGCTGGTGGAAATGCATACAGAGACCAGGGAACCATGTAAAAAGAAACGCGTCTCCGAGGCAGCCCAGTACTCTCCCGGCAGAAGGCGCACACAGAACTGGGCTTGTTCTATGGTAGGAGGACAGGTCCACCCATGGGAGGTCCAAAGATGAAAGAGGGGCGAAGCTCCTGAGGGTGGAGGCACCATTCGTGGTAGGAATTGGGATCCTGTTCAGGGAGTCGGTTAGGGTATTCTTTCCTGAGAGATGGAGCAAGGTGATTTGCTTCCTTTGTGGGATACACCAGTTCCAAGTTCAAAGAATGAGAGTGTTGAGGCTGTAAGAGTGCGTTTCTCTCTGTTTGTTGATGGAGAACTTGGCGGTTGTGTTATCTGTCAGCTATTGGACCGCTAAAACAACATATAAAACAGCACTTTTTATATTTAAAGCAATACAGCTGAGAACTGCATATTTAGAACTGCAATACAGCTGAGAACTGCATATTGGGGTAATCTGTAGAGGTGATGCAGATATTTGATTTGGATCAGGACCTTGTTAACAGCTTGTTTATTTTAACTTATGTTGTACTGTATGCGTATGTGTTTGTCAAACGTTTTTGATACAGCCAATGGGCTAATCAATAAAAAGTACTACCTAGCTATTATGGAGCCCCCGGTGGTGCAGTGGGTTAAACCCCTGTGCCAGCAGGACTGAAGACCGACAGGTCACAGGTTCGAATCCGGGGAGAGGCAGATGAGCTCCCTCTATCAGCTCCAGCTCCCCATGCGGGGACATGAGAGAAGCCTCCCACAAGGATGATAAAAACATCAAAATCATCCAGGCATGCTCTGGGCAACGTCCTTGCAGACGGCCAATTCTCTCACACCAGAAGCAACTTGTCACTCCTGACACGACAAAACAAAAACAAAAACCTAGCTATTGGACCACCTACTCTGTCAGGGAAGGCTTAAACACCTGCTTTCTCCATGGCTAACATCTCAAGGTTGATGTGACACTGACATTCTTTGGGAGACCATGTGCCCTGGACTGTAAGGTTGTTCAGGTGGACACCCCAGCCTTGGAGGAAGGAGCTCACGCTTAGGATCCTGGAAAGTTGCAGTTGGTGAAATGGCATCCCTGCGCAGGCATTGGATTGCCTTGTCCACCATCTAAGAAAGTGGAGGACACCAGGCGAGATGGTTAGCAAGGAGTACATCGAACATTTAAAGACTACATGGCCTCCACCACAGCAGTGCCCTCCTTTGTCAAGCTCTTGATGTGTCCCCTCCAAAACCTGGTTTCTTGAATAGACTGAACATGTCCTGCAGACACATGAGTCTGTACTGCTGCCTGTAAAATCGACAACCTCAGGTCTAGGAATTTTCTGACATGTACGCTTTTTCTTTTATAGAGTCCAGTATTGTCCCTAATAAACGAATTCTGATAGAAGGGTCCCCGCTGAGGGGAATCTCAGTAACTGAATGCCATAAAACAATACAAAATGAACAAATAGCTCCATAAATAAAACATCTATAATAAATTATAACAACTACTCACAAAGTTTAAATAATTAAATAAAACCTATACTTCTATTAAACCTAGGAAGTAATAAAACTAATCAGTTTAAAAAAATTGGAAATAGCAATCTTCTTCAAGCCTCCACTAGTAATTTGTTTTATATAGAATTCTGTTTGCTTACTGTATTGTATATATATATATTGGTATACAGCTTTCCCTTTACACTATGTTTCTTGAGGTTGTAGGAGGGGATGCAGACCACATGATCAGACCTTAGGCTCCCTTAGTGCACAGTCTTCAGAGACGCTATTAGATTTGGCCTGTTAAGAGCAACGTCATGTTGCTATTGAATGTAAGAAAGATGCCTTGTATTATCTGCACAGAGAAACTACTTTGAAATCTATCTGTAACATGATATAGAAACAAGCTGTTTTATGGGAGAGATGTTTTGGGTCACTTAAAAGAACACTTCTGAAGAACTGCTATATTTTGTGCATTGGCATAATCTCTGTTCCTAACAGATCAGAGACAACTAGGTTATCAGTCTAGCAACTGAAACTGCCTTGTATATGGGGTTATATACCACTGAAGAGAAGAATTTACTCAAATGAGTTTCTGGCTATTCTATGGAAGATCATACTTCTACAAAAGTTATGATTTTAAATGGTTGTGAATGCAATTTTTCTAAAAAAAAAAAACCTCAATTAAAAACGGTTTAAATAACCATTGTTATATAATTTATAGTAATTAAATATAACAAGGGCCTCCCTGGGAGTTGCCGTTACCAGAGATGAAGAAATTGTGACAGCAGGAAGTGTTATGCCATCAGGGGAGATAACCCAAGACCTTCTTAGGCTGGGTGGATGGTGCCAAAAGTGCTTGCTCATACAAAAATGCCTTCTTACGAGCCTGAGGGGGTAAAGGAGAGGCAAACCTGGTGAGACTGGACCACCCCACCACACACACACCCCCCCCCCCGGCAAAGGGGGCACATGAAATGGCCGTTGGTGTCCCAGAGCTTCCTTCACAGACCTCACATTTCTTTTAAAAGGTAGATGACTTTAGAAAAGGCGAGGCTAACTGGTCTGATTGCTGAAACCAAATCGAAATCACTAGGCAGGAAGGTGGTCAAGACAGTCCGGTAAAAATTGGAGGCAATCAAGTCCAACTCACTAGGCAGAGAATAGTCAAAAACTGTTGGGAATCAGGAGCTTTTAGGCTAAAAAAATAACCCTTTCTGGGAGTGATTCCACCAAAATATAGCAGAGTGCTAGATGCACAGTTCATAAGCAGCAGAAACTTACATGTAATGAGCAAGGATTGGCTTCCATTCAACAAGATGGAACAGGATTGCAGATCCACAACTTATAGGATCAAAAATAATATGTTTATTAAAGATAAAAGAAATCCATTTAAGATAGGAAAGGTTCTTGGAGCTAACTAACTTCACTGAGCTATCTTCTAAGGAAAAGGAAAAAGGAAAAATAATAAAAGTAACTATATCTACGACATCTTGCCTTAGACAATGGCAAGATGCTTCCTCACTCTAGAGAAGACAAAGGAGAAGAGGATAGAAAATGGAGACAGGCCACATGGCCAGCCCCGGGCAATAAAAATACCTTTAAAAGAGGAAGTTACGTTTCCCTGACAAGATCACATTTGAAGGTATTCAAATGGGGAGGAGATAGTGCCATGCAAAGATGAGTAAGACAACCCACTTCTTAACCCCTTCTTAAAATCAACTAGCTAGAGGAAATTGGGGAGGAATCCCTCAGTCTATGTAGGCTAACTACTCATTGAGAGCTGGAGACTTGTGCAGTCAGGGATGAAACCCAACAATCCCCTTCTTTTCATCTGGGACTGCTCAAGTCTATCACGTTCAACATCTTCTTCAGCTTGCCATGAGCTTGTCTGGGTAACGGCTTTGTCAGGAGGTCTGCAATCATATCTTCCAATTTGCAATATTCCAGCCTCATAAATCCTTCTTCATATGCATTCTTTACAATATGATATTCTGTATCCACATGTTTGAGTAGTGGGCTGATTCTCTTTCTTTGGGAATATTTTAGACAACCTTGATTGTCTTCAAAAACTTCTATTGGTGTTGGTTCATTAATTCCAAAATCAAGCAAAACCATGTGAAGCCATTTCAGTTGTTTGCATGCTTACGCTGTGGACATATACTCTGCTTCAGTTGATGATGATGCAACAATCTTTTGTTTTTGTGTTGTCCAGTCTATCAGTGCATCTCCATAGCAAAACAGGTAATCACTTGTCGATTTTCTGTCTCTAATGTTATTAGCCCAATCTGAATCCACATATTCTTTAAGTATGAGGTTACTGGTAGCTTGTAGTGTCAATTTGAGGTTCAATGCCATAGCTGAAAACAACTCTTATTTTGGCATTCTGATGTCATAAATCCAGAAATCCTGGGTTTAAAATGGACTCTGTATAATCCCAGGTAGTGACTGGCTGTTAGAATAACCTTTCCATCTCTCTCCACAGTACAAACACCATCACAAAAAGTAATTCTGCAGCCCTTTCTTTCCAATAATGAAAGTGCAACTAGATTTGTCTTTAATTCTTCGCTGAATTTTACATTCTCTAGATAAATATTATTTTTAGTGTTCAAACAAGTCAGCTTTACTGTACCAATCCCTGTGCACTTCACTTTGTGAAGGCCAATCCCAAATACATAAGATTCACATTGTTCTAGACGCGTGAAATAAGCTTTATTTGAGAAATAATGATAATTTGCATCACTGGCAATAAACACATCTTCTTTGCTTACTTTATTTCTGGATAACTTAAAAAGCAAATCTCTACATGAATTATCTCTCTCTTCCAGCTCATCTGTGTCAGAAGCAGGCACAGTCAGGCTTGCATTTCCTGTTACAGAGGGCTTGTGTAGGGGGAGGCAAGTAGACCCACTTGCAGAATCTTTGTAATTCCAATGACCTCTGCCTGAAGAGTTACCAGGAGTCTCTGCCATTTGGCCAGGTTGCCTAGCCACAGGAGTTGCTGAGTTTCTCAAATTCACGTTACTGCCTTTTGCCTTCCAACAGTTTCTTTGAAGGTGGCCAAGCTTTCCACAGAAGTGGCAAATTCTGGGGCCTGCATTTTGAAACCTTTTGCTTTGGCTGTTTGCAGCTTTTAGAGCCATTCCACCTTTGTTTCTAGTGCTGCCCCCATGCCGGTGAAGAAATTGTATTTTCAATTCAGAGATTAAATCGTCAAGAGACAAAGGATAGCCTTTGTCATGGATATTTCTCAAAATTAATACAGAATCTTTATAACTTTCATTAATGTGCAGGTCAATGAGAGAAATAATCATTTTATCACTTATTGTTTCTCCATTTGATCTTAATTGATCAACCAAGGAACATATTTCTTGCAGAAAGACATTTAAGTCATCTTCTGACTGCATTTTAGTTGTAAATAACTTTTGGTATGCTAGTGTGATTTCTGCTGTTGAGCATTTTCCATAATTTTGCTCCAAACGACAAAGCATGTCTTTAGCTGTTTCCGCATTTCTCACAAATTCAAAGACCATCTCTGAGAGGGCAAGGGATATAATCGACCTCACCCCCCTGTCGATCTGAAGCCATTCATCACGTCCGGAAGCTTCCGCAGCAGGAGGTTCCCCTCGAAGGACTTGTAGCTGTCTGTTGGTTAGAGCTAGTTCAAGCCTTTGTTTCCAATTCAGGAAATTCCCTCCTTTATCTTCTAGTTTGGGGAGATTCACAGAAGATTCTTCCCTGCTTTCCATGGTTGTCAGCTTCCAATCAAGGGAGAGAAAAAAATCCCAAAAATCAAAATCAAACAAAAATGCTCCAAAATCTCTTTCAGAAACTTTCTCTACTGCTCTTTGCAATGCAATCCTTTAAATTGCTCAGCATACACATTCTGGGCCTCAATAACCCATTTTGGGGAATCGGGAGCTGTTAGGCTCAAAAGTAACCCTCTCTGGGGGTGATTCCACCAAAATATAGCAGAGTGCTAGATGCACAGTTCATAAGCAGCAGAAACTTACATGTAGTGAGCAAGGATTGGCTTCCACCATTCAACAAGATGGAACAGGATTGCAGATCCACAACTCATAGGATCAAAAATAACACAACAACAGAGAAGAAACAAACAAGGACATCTAATCACCTCTCAACAAAAGTTTGCTCTAGGCACTGTCAAGCCATTATATGCTAATCAAGGTGGTCAGTTGAAACATTCACACCTAGCTCCAGCAGACAAGAGTCTTTTGTCTCACCCTGGTCATTCCACAGATATATAAACCCTTTTTCCTAGTTCCAACAGACCTCACTACCTCTGAGGATGCTTGCCATAGATGCAGGCAAAACGTCAGGAGAGAATGCCTTTAGACCATGGCCATATAACCCGAAAAAACCTACAACAACCCAGTGATTCTGGCCATGAAAGCCTTCGACAATACAAAAATATGTTTATTAAAGATAAAAGAAACCCATTCAGATAGGAAAGGTTCTTGGAGCTAACTAGCGTCACTGAGCTATCTTCTAAGGAAAAGGAAAAATAATAAAAGTAACTATATCTACTTCTGCCAACCTAGCAGTTCGAAAACATGCAAATGTGAGTAGATCAATAGGTACCGCTCCGGCGGGAAGGTAACGGCGCTCCATGCAGTCATGCCGGCCACATGACCTTGGAGGTGTCTACGGACAACGCTGGCTCTTCGGCTTAGAAATGGAGATGAGCACCACACCCCAGAGTCAGACATGACTGGACTTAATGTCAGGGGACTACCTACCTACCTAACTATATCTACTACATCTTGCCTTAGACAATGACAAGATGCTTCCTCACTCTAGAGAAGACAAAGGAGAAGAGACCAGAAAATGGAGACAGACCACATGGCCAGCCCAGGGCAATAAAAATACCTTTAAAAGAGGAAGTTAGTTTCCCTGAAGAGATCAGATTACTAGGTATTCAAAGGGGGAGGAGATAGTCCCATGCAAAGATGAGTAAGACAACCCCCTTTTTAACCCCTTCTTAAAATCAACTAACTAGAGGAAATCGGGGAGGAATCCCTTAGTCTATCTAGGCTAACCACACATGGAGAGCTGGAGACATGTGCAGTCAGGGATGAAACCCAACAAAAACGGTCCAGTCAGAGGAAAAATGCAACCAAGTCCAAATCAGTGAGCAGAAGATAGTCAGAAAATGGTCCTGTCCAAAAAGAAAGGTCAAAAAGTTGTGCTTGTCTTTTCAAGAGCTAAGAGAAGTTCCAAACTGCTGCAATGGCAGCAGACAAAAGGAACTGAGGCTATAGCCCCTTCCACTGGCTATATCCCTTCCTGGGGAGAGTGGTGGGGCTACTGTCAAAATGTTTCAATTAGAGCTTCTAGAACTCTGAACTGCTTTGTGCATGCATGGAAAACCCTTATGTACAATTTCACAGAAACTTCAAAGAAAAATGTTAATAATAACAGCAGCAGCAACCTCAGGGGCCATGCAGTCCAATCCTCTTCCACCATGCAGGGGGAAAAAAATCAAAGAACCCCAAAGAAATGGACATCCAGCCTTAGTAGTAGTAGTAGTTGTTGTTGTTGTTGTTATAGCAGCAGCAATCCCAGAGGCCATGTAGTCCAACCCCCTTCTGCCATGCAGGAAAAGCACCCCAAACAGATGACCATCCATCCTTTGTAGTAGTAGCAATAATAATAATAGCAGCAGTTTTGAGATGCAGTTTGAGCACTCAGTCTCTAAAAGATTCACCATCATTGGTATAAGGTGTACAGTATATGAAACATAAGTTAACTTCATACTGTTGGGGAATCTGAGCTGTTAGGTTCAAAAATAACCCTTAGTTAGGGCAATTTCACCAAAATATAGCATAGTACCAGGAGTAAACTCCATAACCAGCAGAAACTTACGTGTGGTGAGAAGGAATAGCCTTCTAACCTTTAGGATGGTTTAGGATTGCAGAGTCAGAACTTGGGGTTCAAAAATATTTATTAAAGTAAAAAGAAATACATTCTTGATAGAAAAGTCTTGAAGCTAACTACTTACTAAATCTCATCTTCTAAAGAAGGTAAAAGGTAAAAAAGTCAATGCAGCTTCATTCTGCCTGCAATGAGGCAAAATGCATCCTCACTGAGAGAAAGAAAAGCAGAAGAGGAATGGTGGAGGACAAATTTCAAACTTAAGAGGAAGATCCCTCACATAATTCCATTACTATGTCATCGAAGGGGGAGGGGACAGCAGCTAGCCGTAAAGACAAAAACAAAGCCCTTTGGGAAGCATGAATAGGAATGTGAGGAAAGTAATCCCTGAGCTTAGGCCTTTCTCTAGTCTAGCTACTCACTGAGGACTAGAAACTTCATGACACAAAGACTTGTCCAGTCTAGGGACGAAACCCAAAAAATACTTAGACTTGGGTCCCATCTCCAAGATAGCTCATTATGTACCCATGTGCAAATACAGGTATTCCAGAATATTTTCGAAAATCAAAAATCCAACGTATTTCTGGTCCCAAGTGTTTCAGATAAGGGATACTCAACCTATACCAGTCTCCAAAGTATTCTCTCAGTAGTCCTGATTGTCGGGGAATCTGAGTTGTTAGGCTCAAAAATAACCCTCAGTTAGGGTAACTAAAAAAAAAAACCAAAAAACAGAGTGCCAGAACATAATTCCATAACCAGCAGAAATTTATATGTGGTGAGCAGGAATAGCCTTTATCCTTTTAGGATGGCTAGGGATTGCAGAGTCAATCGTAGATTTCAAAGATTTATGGAAGGAAAAGTAAATATATTCTTAGAGCTCACTAAGGTACTGAAACTTCATCTTCTAAAAGAGACCAAAGGTAAAAAGGTCCATGCAGCTACATTTGGCCTCATAGAGATGCAAAAGGCATCCTCACAGGGAGAAGAAAGAAAGACCAGGCCACATAGCCATCATCTAGGGGCAATACTTTCTTAAAAGCAATGCACAGGAATGTGAGGGGATGGGATTTCCTAAGCTTGGCCCTGTCTATAGCTACTTTTTGATGACTAGGAATTTGGTATCATGCATGGGCAGTCCAAGGGTGAACTCTACACTGATAATTGCACTGACCTTTTGCAAGCTAATGAAGTACCGATTGCGTTCTGCCTCAGGGTCAATGATGCCTCCTTTTGCTTGTTGCCTCTGATAGATCAAACTCAGTTGTTCTCTGTGCAGCATCATTGCTGTGTCTGGCTGGTACATTTCCTGTGTGGGAGCGAAATGTTATGCCTTCTAGCAAGAGTGGATTTCTTTGGCTCTGCTCTACAAGTCTGTTATATGCCCATATAAGTAATACAAGTGCAATGCATCTGGTTTGTTTCTAGAAGGGCAAACAGAAGTTTGTATCTGTATAGATAGCTATGCACTATGGATGCTAGGGCTAAGGAATATGGGGCCCTCTATGTGTTGTTTGACTAGAATATGCATCGTTCGTTATGCATGTTATGCTGGCTTGAATTAATGATAGTTGCAGACCAGCCACATCTGGAGGGCCAGACACTCCTCAATCCTGATGCATATTGTGATCTGGAAAAGACTCAGCAAAGCTGATTAAGAAATTCTAGATAGCTCTATTTATTAACAGAGAGGAAGCATCCTTGCTGCATTTCTTAGAGCACAAGAGGACAGGAAACAGGCCAATTTTTTCCTAGTCCCCGCACAGGCTGCATCCTGCCTCAAAGCAAGTTCATATGGAGTTTTTTTTCCCTGCAGTCCTTCTCAAAATGGCTACAGGAAGTCACTCTGTATTTCCATTTTGAGAGGAAGTGAAGGTATTTGGGAATACAGGGTTTGGGAGTGCTTCTGGAGTACTATAGCTGTATTTCAGTTTGTTTTCCCGTGCATGGGGACTTTGTGCACAGTTTTTGGACAATGATTGCATGGAAATGACATCATTTTTAAATGGGAGGATTGCACAACTGGTGCATTCCTTTAAGGGCTACAGAAGTCAGGTCCAAGGAATACACTCTGCCCAGCCATGCATAAAGGGAAGTTGGCTCCTGTCAGAAGTTCCTTCTGCAAATTCCCTCACCATTGGCTGTTGAGGTGGTGGTGCTGCTTGTAATGTTGCAAGGTCATACACCAGAGGCTTCCTGCACACAGGACATGGCACATCATCTTCCTGTACAGGAAAAGAAACAACAACTTTAGACTCTGATAAGAAATAAGGAACTACTCTATTGAAAATCTGCAATTTCTGCTTTAGCAAGTAGCAAATTTCTTTTTAAAACTCCTCCCCCCACCCCTAGCAATAAGGTCATGGTGATGAGTAACAGAATTGTGATCTATCCCTCAAGTGTTACTGGTATCGCTTGGATCCCAAGCTCAGTTGAATGACTTTTATAAACCACATTAACTTTCCTATAGATATTATGGCCATTGAAGATTTCTTCTTTTCGGATATTATTGGATCGTCTTAACACTACAAAAGCTTATATTGGAACAAGAGCAAATATACTGTTTACTGACCCAGATTTTTTACTGTATCCACTGGCCACAGCTTTATTTTTATTAAACAAAAGAACCTACAAATGAGAATACACACATGATTGCTACCCAGCCTGGAAAATGTTGTTCCTATATTATCATACAATAACCTCAAAGATTACTCCAGCCTCAGAAAACATTAGTAGTCAAAATGGCCAGTGAACTGGTAGGAGCAACTGCAATAGATAAGGTACCATTGCCTCTTTTGGCTGAGATGCCAACGTTGGTAATCTTTCTTTTCTCTGTGCACGTTTCTCCTCCTCCATATGCTGTGTATAACTGGCAAGGCAATATGAGTGGAAGTAATGGTAACACGGAGTCTTAATGAAAGCTTCATTTTCCTGTACAGTGGAAGGAACAGATTATTATGAATATATTATGTCAAGCACTGTATGATTTAAAGGAAGTATCACAAAGTCTATTACTATGAGAATTTCCATTTCATCTTTGCACTACGAAGATGTTTGGATCCAAAACAGATGTAGCATTATGCATATAAATCAAATTGCTCCCTTCCTTGTAAAGCTGTCTAGAGCCTCTTTCACACTGTCCCTATATCCCAGGATCTGATCACAGATTATCTTCTTATCCCATATTATCTGGTAATGGAGATTTAGGGCCCTTCCATACAGGCCTATATCCCAGAATATCAAGGTGGAAAATCCCATAATATCTGCTTTGAACTGGGTTATCTGAGTCTACACTGCCATATATTCCAGTTCAAAGCAGAAAATGTGGGATTTAATTCAGATGTGTGGAAGGAGCCTCATATAATCCAGTTTAAAGCAACTAATTGGGATCAGATCCTGGGATATAGGGCAGTGTAGAAGGGGCCCATGAGTAAGTCACTTCAGAAGGACAAACAGCAGGAGATTGTGGCAGAGCAGGGGGAAAGAAAAATGTCAATTTCCTCTCACGTGTTAATGAAAAGCACAATAATGTCTAGATTTTGGCCAGTGGTATTGACCTTATTTACAATATTGGAGCCTCAATTATTTTGGTCAGGCATACAACATTTTCTGATAATTTAAAACAACAACATATATACTATTTTGATTGTTGTTTGGATGGACACCTGAATTAAGGTTAGTGAGTTCTTGACTCCTTACTTTACAAGATGAGAAAACAAGCTTAAAGTCATTGAAACTAAATTAGTATTGGAACTAACTTTAGCAGGCTCTTGATTCTTAGCTTTTCAAATGAGGAAATAGGCTTAACTGTGATGAAACCAGCTGTATCAGGAGTTGACAGTTTCATTAAACTGCTATGTATGTGGCCAGACTGGTATGTCTGACGGTGATCTCCCGGATAATTCTGAGAAATCCTGCACACTAGATAAAAAATATCTAACTGCTGTAACGCTGATGCCTCTGGATACTATACAACTATTCTTGTATTTGGGTTTTGACCATCAATACCTAGATTGTCTTATAAATTGTTGACCAGTTGGATGGACCAGAATGTCAAGCCCTTTCTATTGAGAAATATAATCGCTTTACATTTACAATGTTTTTGCAAATAATAAGAATGGGCATCTTTGGCATTATTTTATAGCTTTCTGGTAAGATACATAGTCACCATGTGCAAAAATGAGGAGTAAAATATAATTGCTTTATCAGTTTAACTTGGGTTAATGGCTGAGATTTACAGGAAGGCATCCAAATGATGAAAAACCAACTAGTCCCAGTTTGAATATAGGGAGAAATAAGGGTCTAATCCCACTGTGTGCACACACTTTTTTCTTGCTCTCAAAGCCCAAAGCATTAATTTATTATATGCAGGGTCTCAAGACCTCCTGGGTCTTGAGAGGTGCTAAGGTAAGGTTTTGGATGGGATGTAAATGGAGTAAAGTCAAGTACTCTACTGAGACATACTGTGTACTATGTTTCTAAGATGATGCCTCCCAGAGTGTTCTTGAGAACTCAGTATAACATCTATTAATTTGTCACATTCTCTCACGTTCAACCAGGTTTCCCATTTCACCACCATTCAGAGTTTACCTGGCTTTCTTCTTGCTCCCTCATGTATCACTACATACATGCAAAATACTCCCATTCTGACTTCCTTCCTGAGTGAACCACATCATCATCTTATATCACTGTTGTTGATTCCACAAGTTCCCAAAAGGTTAAATCAAGAAAGCAATCTAATATTCACTTACTTGAAAACCATACAGGCAAATCACACACTGGCCATGCGGGATGTTATTGTCAGTAAGAATTTCCTTTCCTGTCTGTGAAGAGATGGAGAACCAGTATATCAGGTCACACATCAGAATCTCAAAAAGACCCAAGCTGGATTTGTCCTGAACCTTTAGGTCTGGACAGGCATCCAAAATAAGTTGATTGCTCCATCTTTTGTTTTCTTACCTCTATTAGCTCATACAACATAGCAGCACCAAGTCGGGCCTTAGCAATATTTTGCAGTGTCTGCAAAATCCTAGAAGAAACAAGTGTGTCCTTAGACCATTTATTAAATATTTAGAGGAGTAAGAAAGCAATACTTAAAGGACTGGCTAAACCTGCTCAGTGCATTTCCAAAATTACAGTCTAAAAGGCAATTGCCCCTAGTTCAGTGCTCCATTTTCTACTTCTGAACATGTTGAAAGAATGTGGAATCAAGAGAGGTATAAGTAATGTACCCCCTTGCTCACACCAATGTTGTTACAGAACAAAAACAGTGAAGAAACCATGGCTGTAGGGCTGTAGGCTGTAGGTGAATAATCCTGTGCTGGTGTGATGCGGCAGCTAAGAACACCAATGTGATTCTAGGTTACATAAACTGGAATATAGTGTCTAAATTGAGGGCAGTCACAGCCCCTCTCTATTCTGCTTTGGACAGACCTCAACTGGAATAATGAGTCCAGTTCTGGGCACAACAATTCAAGAAGGATATGGAGACGGTAGAACATGCCCAGAGAATGGTGGCCAAAATGATCAAAGCTCTATCTAAACATTAGGAAAAGATTCCTGACAGAGCTGATCAACAGTGGAATAGATTGCCGGAATAGAATAGTCCTGTGGAGTCTCCTTCACTGGAGGCTGGATGGTCGAATATTGAGGATACTTTGATTGTGTCTTCCCTCATGTCTGGGGTTTGGACTGGGTGGTCCTTGGAGTCTCTTCCAATTCTATCTTCCATAAGATTCCAATATTTAAGAATACTAAGTGGAATGATGATATTAATTCAGCCTGCTAGGTCTAACCATCATCGTGAACTGGGCACTCAGATGTCCAAATGGTGATGATGAAATCTCAAGGCAGAATCCAAATTAGTGACAAGGGCCCTCAAACCCTTAATGTTAAGAGATAGTTTCACTAGCTTTATATTAACCAATATGTATATGTTTCATATATGACTGCAGCAAGTAGTCTAACAATACACCTTTCTTCCCTTGCTCTCAAAATGAGTAAGATAGCAACGGCTTGATCCATCTTTGCAATGACATAGTTGAAATAAAAAGAGCTAAAAATGGATAATTGTTAAAATATAATGGAAACAAAATAAGGTTTTAGCACTGCGCCTTCCAAAGAAATTGTGAAAAGGAGGAAAACAACTTTATCTTAAAGGTTGCACTGAATGGTAACACTGAATGGATCTTACTTACTTCTGAATCTGTTCATCTGACAGCCCTCTAGGATTCTGAATTGTTATTTTTGGCACTTCCTTTGGATACTAAAAAAAAAAAAACATAATTAAGTCAAACCAATAGTACAACCATGTAATATGGTAAAAATGACAAGAAAGCGGATTCTGAATTTTACCTGAACAGGCACAGAGAGGACAAGAGTGAAGCAGACATACTGAGAATCCTGATCCTCTGCAGTTGCTGGATGTAAGATGATGGAGATTTCCCAGGGTAGAGACCTAGGGTTGGAGTAAGACTCATGTGAGGATTAATTATCTGAAGAGCACTAACAGACAGAAGAGTAAATATAACAATGACACGAATGCATACTATTCCTTCCTTTCTCAGACTGAAGGAAAAGTAAAGAATAGAAAGAGCCTTGTGTTCTTGTGTTCTTACCATGATGACATTTAGTGATTGCATTCAATAACATGAGGAATGATTAAACATATTACTGCAGAACACTCTGAATGGGGCAGAGTAGAAAGTTGCTATAGTTTGAGGTAGAACAAGTGCCAGGAAGACAGGAATCAACCACAGCATCCTATGGTATGGGTCATACTCCAGAATATGTGTAAACCTCCAGGAATGATCAACACTTTAAATTATAGATGTGGAGTCCTATAAACCAAATTTAGCCTCTGGAGAGTTCAATTCAGTCATATACTCTTCCTTCACTGGACTCAGACATAGTTTTTTTTTAAAGTTTATATTGGACATACAGGCAGGTATTTGTGCAGATGCATGTGAGTGAATATTAATAATAATAATTTATATTCCACTTCACCCCACCCCAAATTGAGACTCAAAGTGGCTCACTACTTAAAATATAATACAATTAAACACACACAAAGGTAACATATTATAGTATTAAACTAACTACTTTATTGATTTGGTTCAAAAATACTTTAAACATATTTTAAAAACTCATCAAAACAGTTCAGTAAAAGATTACAATACCCCCTTGTTCATTTTTACAAGTTTGTTTTAAAGTCCTGCCTGAATAAAAAGATTTTAGCTGTTGGAAAAACTACAAGGATGGAGCCATTCTGACCTTTATGGGAATTGAGTTCCAGAGTCAAGGGGCAGATGCCAATAAACACCCTCAGGTTCCCACCAGCTTCCAATTGTGGAAGGACCGAGACAAGGCCCTCTCCAGATATTCTCAAGAGACTGGGCAGGTTCATACAGGGAAATACCATCTGCCAAATAGCCTGGATTTGAGTCATATAGGCCAATATGAGGTGGTTTTATTATGCTTGCTTTGGGCACATCCACTTTGCTCATGCAGCCACAATAAGGTTTGCCTAGAGCACATACAAGCCAGCAGCTAAAACTGGTTCCTATCTGTGTATAACATCTAAGGGCAAGACATCCAATAATGATGCAAATACCTGTCATTTCCTTTAGACACCTGTAGCTCATCCAGGTAGATAGACTCTAAGACTTCCACTTCTGAAGGCAAAATCCTGAAGGCAAAGAAATGTTATATGTAGACTCCTTTCCTCAGGTCTCCCTCTGGATAGCACAGAATTATCTGTGGCAATCATATTCCACCATATGCAATGCACACTTGTCTTAAGCCTCTTCCACACAGCTGAATAAAATCCCACATTATCTGCTTTGAACTGGAATATATAGATGTGGACTCAGATAAACCAGTTCAAAGCAGATATTGTGGGACTTTCTGCCTTGATATTCTGGGATATAAGGCTGTGTGAAAGAGCCTCTAGAGAGAAAAAGACACACCTTACTAAAAACCAATAAACCCATAGCTGGATCTGCCAGATTTAAAGAGGATTATTGATGACTAGGTGAGTTGAAGCCTCCCACTCATGGGGTCACCATAACTCAAAGCTGACTTGCCAGCATCTAATATCAACAAATCCATACCTAAATATTGATGTATCAGAGTATTCCAATAAAATAGCTTTTTGGAGCAGAAAATGCCACATCGTTTTAATTTTTTTTTGCAGAAAAAGAGATCATGCTTGGAGATGACAAAATCTTGAAAAAACAAAACTGGTCTAATAACTGACCACTTTGTTCTAATGACAAAAAGCTATGGTTTTCGACCACTTCCCCAAATATAGGATTTCTCACACCACTTTGTAGCTTTAAAAATCATAGATCTAAGACTTTGGAGTCACAGCTTAGAACAATCATACCTCAACAGGCAAAACCACGGCTGTAATATTGGTAGAGGGAAGAAAGAAATGCTTACATGCCTGTCTCAGCTGCTAGAGTAGCTTATTTATTTATTTACGTTATTTACATTTTATTTTTTATTTATTTATTTACTGCACTTGTAGACCGCCGTTCTCAGCCCTAGGGCGACTCACGGCGGTGTACAACATATAAAAACAATTTACAATAAAGGCAATATCACAAATAACAATAACAACATCACTATCAATAATACAATTACACTAAATCATTCGCGACGTCTCATCATAGAATCACAATCCAATCTCGTTTTCCATATTCCGTTCCAATCATCATTGCCAATTGTTGTAGCACTTAATCAAACGCCTTCTCAAACAACCACGTCTTTAGTCTCTTGCGTAATGTCATAAGGGAGGGCGCCTGTCTGATGTCTACAGGGAGGGTGTTCCACAGCCAGGGGGCCACCACCGAGAAGGCCCTATCCCTCGTCCCCGCCAGGCGTGCCTGTGAGGCAGGCGGGATCGAGAGAAGGGCCTCCCCAGACGATCTCAAAGTCCTCGTGGGCTCGTAGGCCGAGATGCAGTCAGTCATTCCGCCCTTCTCACCCCGAAAGGGACTCAGGGTGGATCACAGAACATACATATGTGGCAAACATTCAATGCTATTTATACACCGACAAGACAAGACAATTAGGAGCCCCCGGTGGCGCAGTGTGTTAAACCCCTGTGTGTGCCGGCAGGACTGAAGATCAACAGGTTGCAGGTTAGAATCCGGGGAGAGGCGGATGAGCTCCCTCTATCAGCTCCAGCTCCTCATGCGGGGACATGAGAGAAGCCTCCCACAAGGATAAAAACATCAAATCATCCAGGCGTCCCCTGAGCAACGTCCTCGCAGACGGCCAATTCTCTCACACCAGAAGCGACTTGCAGTTTCTCAAGTCGCTCCTGACACGAGAAAAAAAAAGACAGACAATTGTACATAGATAAAGGTATTTATAGGCTTTCCCCATCTTCGGCATTTTGGTGGCTTGTGCTTGGTTTTGGCTTGGGGGAGGGGTTGCTACTCTTCCATCTCCCTGCCAAAGAGCTTTGTTCGTAAGCTTCTTCCTTGATCAAATCACCAGCATTTTTCTGGCATTTTCCTTATGAGTGACTTAATACCTCCCCGTTTTTAAGCAGTATCTATTTCTCTGCTTACAATTAGCTACTCTAGCACAGATAAACATTTTAGATGTATTTATTTAATTTATTTACAGTATTTATATTCTGCCTTTCTCATCCTGAAGGAGACTCAGGGCGGATCACAGAACACATGCAGCAAACATTCAGTGCCATTATACACTGACAAGACAGGCAACTGTACATAGAGGTGTATTCGGATTATGGATCAGCTGGTTTTCCCTGAAGTAAGAGCACCTAAAGCAATGGTTCTCAACCTGTGAATCTCCAGATGTTTTGGCCTTCAACTCCCAGAAATCCTAACAGTTGGTAAACTGGCTGGGATTCCTGGGAGTTTAGCAAACAGTTAGTATGTCAGTAGAAAAAGGAAAAATAAGGAGGCGATAGGACCTCTTCGAGGAGAAGATGGGGCAATGCTGACAGGGGATAGGGAAAAGGCAGAACTACTTAATGCCTTCTTTGCCTCTATCTTCTCACAAAAAGAGAGCCTTCAACCTCAGCAAGATGGAGTGGATGAGGGATTGGAGGACATCCAATCCCAAATTGGGAAAGAAGTCGTCCAGGAATACCTGGCCGCTCTTAATGAGTTCCAGTCCCCAGGGCCAGATCAACTACACCCCAGAGTATTGAAGGAACTAGCGGAAGTCATTTCGGAACCATTGGCAACCATCTTTGAGAGTTCTTGGAGAACGGGAGAAGTTCCAGCAGATTGGAGGAGGGCCAATGTGGTCCCAATCTTCAAGAAGGGAAAAAAGGATGACCCAAACAACTACCATCCGGTCAGCCTCACGTCGATACCGGGCAAGATTCTGGAAAAGATTGTTAAGGAAGCGGTCTGCAAACACTTAGAAACAAATGCAGTCATCGCTAATAGTCAACATGGATTTATCAAAAACAAGTCATGCCAGACTAATCTGATCGCTTTCTTCGATAGAGCTACAAGCTGGGTAGATGCGGGGAATGCCGTGGATGTAGCGTACCTGGATTTCAGTAAGGCCTTCGACAAGGTCCCCCATGACCTTCTGGCAAGGAAACTAGTCCAATGTGGGCTAGGCAAAACTACGGTGAGGTGGATCTGTAATTGGTTAAGTGGACGAACACAGAGAGTGCTCACCAATGCTTCCTCTTCATCTTGGAAAGAAGTGACAAGTGGAGTGCCGCAGGGTTCTGTCCTGGGCCCGGTCCTGTTCAACATCTTTATTAATGACTTAGATGAAGGGCTAGAAGGCATGATCATCAAGTTTGCAGACGACACCAAATTGGGAGGGATAGCCAATAGTCCAGAGGACAGGAGCAGGATTCAAAACGATCTTGACAGATTAGAGAGATGGGCCAAAACTAACAAAATGAAGTTCAACAGTGACAAATGCAAGATACTCCACTTTGGCAGGAAAATGAAATGCAAAGATACAGAATGGGGGAATGCCTGGCTCGAGAGCAGTACGTGTGAAAAAGATCTTGGAGTCCTCGTGGACAACAAGTTAAACATGAGCCAACAATGTGATGTGGCGGCAAAAAAGCCAATGGAATTTTGGCCTGCATCAATAGGAACATAGTGTCTAGATCTAGGGAAGTCATGCTACCCCTCTATTCTGCTTTGGTTAGACCACACTGGATCTGTGTCCAATTCTGGGCACCACAATTGAAGAGAGATATTGACAAGCTGGAATGTGTCCAGAGGAGGGCGACTAAAATGATCAAGGGTCTGGAGAACAAGCCCTATGAGGAGCGGCTTAAGGAGCTGGGCATGTTTAGCCTGAAGAAGAGAAGGCTGAGAGAAGATATGATAGCCATGTATAAATATGTGAGAGGAAGCCACAGGGAGGAGGGAGCAAGCTTGTTTTCTGCTTCCTTGGAGACTAGGACGGAACAATGGCTTCAAACTACAAGAGAGGAGATTCCATCTGAACATTAGGAAGAACTTCCTGACTGTGAGAGCCGTTCAGCAGTGGAACTCTCTGCCCCGGAGTGTGGTGGAGGCTCCTTCTTTGGAAGCTTTTAAACAGAGGCTGGATGGCCATCTGTCAGGGGTGATTTGAATGCAATATTCCTGCTTCTTGGCAGGGGGTTGGACTGGATGGCCCATGAGGTCGCTTCCAACTCTTTGATTCTATGATTCTAGTAAACAGAAATAGACTCCTTATGTTCTGTGGTTTTAATCACAATGCTACTTTCAGCATCTATTTTCCCCTTGTCTTCAGTTATCACCTCAAGGCAGCTATCAGTCGAGTTGTCTTGAAGTAACTCATACTTATTTCTGCAAAAAAAAGTTCAGATATAGAATCCTCCTTTGGAGAAACCTCTTCATTCTTTAGCATTACGGATTATGGATCAGCTGGTTTTCCCTGTAAGTAAGCAGTAAGAGCACCTAAACCAGTGGTTCTCAACCTGTGAGTCTCCAGATGTTTTGGCCTTCAACTCCCAGAAATCCTAACAGCTGGTAAACTGGCTGGGATTCCTGGGAGTTGTAGGCCAAAACACCCACCGGTTGAGAACCCCTGTTGTAAGCAGATCAAACTGCATTCTTTCTACAGTGCAGATGCACCCAAGGAAAGTTCACAAACCGCTTTTGTTCGTTACGGGGAAAAAATCCCCAATGTACTAAAGGGGATTGTAGGGCCTTAGAGACCGAGAGGAAGAAGGTGGGGGCAATACAATCTCTGAGATTCCGTCTACTTCCTCAGAGGGAACTTTGGACACCGCGAGGCGCCTTTAAGTAAACAAGTATAACTCCCGAAGGCCGGAGGGGAGGGAGCAGAAGCTCCTCCATGAAAGGGAAAGGGGGCCTGAAGAAGCCCCTCGGCTGTTCGCTAGGCGCCCATGTTCCCCGGAGGAAGGAAACGCTCTCACCAATCCGCCGCCGCTTCCTCCCCTTCTTCTGCCACAACACCGGCCGCCGCCATCTTGCCGCCCAAAAGCGGATGCTCCTCGCGCTGGCCAAAGCCCGTTTCCGGCAGCGGGCGTTGCTAAGCAACAGTTCGGAGACGCCATTATCTGGACTCCAGGAGGGCGGAGGAGGCCTCGCTCCCTGAGGAGGATCTCAACGCCTTTACAAAAAGGTAATATCGGATTGCGGGGAAAGGGAAGATGGGTGGAGGGCAGCCTCGAGGAGATAGTGACTTCTCTGTGTGGCCCTTTCTTTCTTTCCTCTGTTTCCCTCATAGACCTTCCTCTCTCTTTTCTTTCCCTCCCTTTTCTGTTCTATAGATTTTACCAAATGCTGAGAACAGCCTGAGTCAATAATGAAAGAGTTCATTGTATCCTTCTTAGAGGTCACCAGGAAAGCATGCTGTAAGTCCTTTGAAGAACTAGGTCTTTCCACTTGCTTGTTTCTCCATTGTCCTTGATTCTGTTTGCAATTCTTAGCATAATGCCCTTTCTTTTTACATTTAAAGCACACAATTTGCGATTTTGGCTTAGCAACACAAGCAGTGTCATTAGAAGCAGTCCCAGAACTTGAACTTTTCTGTATAGGAGCAAAACTCCTCAATTTGCGTTGAGCCTCAAATTCCATAATTTTTCCTGAAATAAAAGGTATCGTGAGATCCCTGTCAGGAATTCCATGAAGAGAGTCCATGAACGCATAAAAAGGGCGAGATAGAGATCCCATCAAGATTAACGCTTGTTGCTCAGGGGGAAAAATAATGTCTCTTGCTCTCAACTCCGAAAAAAAAGCCACAACTCTTGTAACATGAGTTTGAACTGGAGAGCCCTCCTCATGTTTGAGGTTAAACAGCTGCCTCATAAGAATTATCTTCGAACCGCTTGATTGTCTCTGAAACATATCTTTAAACAAATTCCACGCAGTTTGCGCATGCAGAATATTATGAAGATGCACCAACAAAGAATCTGACACAGACAATTGAAGAAGTGCCAAAGCTCTTTCATCTTTATGTTGATCCGCAGGAGTTAATTGAGCTGGCAAGTTCTCAATTATGTCCCATAAATTCTGAGAAACAAGAAAAGCTTTAAATCTGACGCTCCAACTGAGCCAGTTACTTTCAGAAAGTTTATCAAAAGGGAGTGAACCAACTTGAAGAGGCGGCAAAGCCATTGTGGTATTTCACTTTAAAGTCCCAAAAAGTCCAGAAACAAAAATACTCACTGCACCAAAAGAAAAGACCCCCAGTACACCCGGGTTTAAGCTCAGCCAATTTATATTCACTACTTCAAGTAAAATTGGCTTCTAGCAGTCCAATATCTTTGCAGTAATTCTCTGGAATCCAAACACAGGGTCTGACACACAAACTGTTTTCTTCTTCTTTAGGCTTCTGAAACTTTTGTTGAAAACACCTCTGTGCAAGGCAAGACAGGAAAGCAACTTAGTTGGCCCTTGCTGCTCAGGCACGTAGAAGGCAAATTCTCCAACATAGCAAGCCATAAATCTTCTTGATTTCTCTGAAGGCAAATCCTCCAAGGTTTAGTGTACAGCAGCAAGCCATCACTTTAAACCTCACTGCTCATCAAAACAGCCAGGAACAGAAGATTCCAACAAAAAAATGCCTTCAAAAACTTCTTAATGTTCCACCACATATTTACCTCAGACATGCGCATTATGCAGCGTTCTGGGCCCATAACCTGTCAGCAGAGTCTTGCTTTATTATAAATTCATAGTGGAAAACATCAAAAGTAAGAAAACAAACATCTTGCATCAGATATCAGACCCTAAACAAAACATTTAGAGTCCCAAACTCCAAAAACGCCATAGCTTCTCCAAAAGCTCAAGGCTATAGCAATAGCAGAACGCTGAGGGACGCTGAAAGCTGCTGAAGGCTGCTGCTGGCTGCAGGCAGATGCAACACATTATAACCACAGTAATTAGATCCACCTGCACCCAATTAACCAAAACCACATCACAAGCATTTCAGCAATTAAAGATACAAACTTACTTATACATACATAACCCAAATACATACAATGAACAGATAAAATTTTGCACATTTTTACAGTTCTCCTGACAATAGCTCTTTCAGTTCTTTTTAAAATCATGTTTCTGTGGTGGCCTTCCGACTCTGGAACACCCTCCCCAAAGATCTTAGACAGGCCCCTACATTGGCAGTTTTTAGAAAGAACTTGAAGACTTGGCTGTTCCGATGTGCCTTTCCAGAATAGGAAAACTCCAACAAGTCCCAGAAGCATTTTATTCGAAATTAAGATTGCTGGCACATTGCACTTACCCTATAATCCTTACATATCACCTGTCACATCAGCACTTTTAATCTGTACCCATTACTCTGGCCTGGCCCAGTTTTTATTGTGTCCTGGTGTATTGTTTATTGCTTGTTTAATATTGCTTTAACTGTTTTTAATTTGCTTTAGGTTGTGTATTGTTATGTTGTGTTTTGAGGCCTTGGTCTTTGTAAGCCGCATCGAGTCCTTCGGGAGATGCTAACGGGGTACAAATAAAGTTAATAATAATAATAATTGTCTGCCATAGATGCAGGTGAAACATCAGGAGAGAATGCTTCTAGAACATGGCCATGCAGCCCAAAAAACCTACAACAACCCAGTGATTCCAGCCATGAAAGCCTTCGACAATACACAGATTGAACTGCATTGTGCTGAATCATGAGTCTACACTGCTATGTAATCCAGTTCAAATCCCTTAATCTGCATTCTGAAACTGCAGAATATTGCAGTGTAGATCCAGCCATATTCAGGGGTAAAAAAACAAAAGCCACAGGCAGAGTGATGCCTCCAATCAGGCAACCAAAGGACACAAAACACTTTATGCAAAGTTTCCAAGCTCCACTGACTTCTTCTTCAGGCACAAGATGTTTTTAAAAAATCATTGATGAGAAAAAAAGCTTTAATTTTACTCTCCTTTGTCTTTGACAAATGGACCCAAAAAAGGGATTGAGGCCTGTGTTCGCTATAGAATAAGCCAGGGGTGGCTGTATATTGTTTTATTTATCTTAAATTGTTTGATGTGATTTTAAAAATCAGTATGTATTTTTTTTCATCAATCTAAGTGTTGTGTTATACAATTGTGTAAAGATGGCTATTTTCCTTACATATATTTCCTACATTTATTTATTTATTTTATTTTATTTACAGTATTTATACCCTGCCCTTCTCACCCTGAAGGGGACTCAGAGCAGCTTACGGAACACACATACGGAAAACATTCAATGCCGATTGTACAATTAACAAGGGCAGACAACAGAAACAGAGGTAAAGACAGTTTTTCCATCTTATTTCTGACATCTTGGAGGCTGTGTTCGACTCTGGCTACGAGAGTTGCTGCCACTCCATCTTCCCCACACTGTTCTTTAGTATACAACAGTTAAAACCACCCTCCTCACTAAAAGAAAAAAATCAAAATAATAAAATTAAAAGATTAATGTGGGCTTTTCACATCAAAGACACATAATGAAAATATCGTCATCCCACTACTCTATTATACTAGGCCCCTTCTACACTGCCATGTAATCCACTGTCTACACTGCCATATAATCCAGTTCAATGCAGATAATCTGGATTTTTATGGCATTGTAGAAGGGGCCTTGGGCTGCTTTTACACTGCCCCTATTATCTTCTTATCCCATATCATCTGATAGTGGAGACTCATATCATAGCAGATAATCTGGGATCAGATCCTGGGATATAGGACAGTGTAGAAAGGGCCTTAGATGGTTTCTTTTTTCTACCTTTCTATCTCTGTTTTATTCAATCTTCAAAACCTGATAACATTTTGACATTTCTTTTGTTTCTCTATAAATGAAATAAGTGGTTTTCATTCTTTGAAAATGTTTCTAGTCAACTTCTCTTTTATAGACCAAGAAAAGTTGTCCATTTCTGCCAATTCTTTTCAATATATGGTAGTTTTTTTGAGAAACCCTGGATTAGAAGCTCCATGTGGAAGCACATTTTTAAGGCAGGAATAGGATGTAGTTCTTGTCGCACTCCAGAGCAGAATCACCTCTGACTTTAAACACTACAACATCTGGATAAATCAGCAAGCAGTTTATTTAAGAATATAAGAAGCCAAAGAGGTAAAAGGTAAACCACAGTAAAAAGTAATACAATTGATATAAAAGAGGACAGGAACAAAAAGTCCAAAGAAATCCATGAAACTAGACACTTGAATTCATAAACAGAACAGAAGCACACTCCATAGGATAACCATGGGCTAAGGCAGACCTTGACGCTGGAAACTTGGCATTAATTCGGCGTGGCTTCAACTGAAACAGTATTTCTCACTAGTCACTTATAAACCCTGCCCTAATTCCCAAACAGCTAGGAACAGATTCTTTCTTAATTTTGGTTTCACATCCAACTTCTGTTGGAATCTACCCGAGCGTCTTAATGGCTGTACAGACTGTCTCTGTTTACTGAAACATCTTTTCCTGTTCAAGGCCTCACTCCCGTCATTAACTTCTGCACCTGGGACCTTGAAATCAACTTCATTCTTAGATAACTGATGAGAGAACTGCGGCACAAGGCCATTCCCAAGCTCAAGACCTTGAGAATCCTTTTGCAGCAACTCAGGCCTCTGTGACCTGTCTTTTAAACTCCATTCAGGCCCTTGCAGCAACTCAGGCCCCTCTGGCCTCTCATCCCCAGACCCTGGCCCAGAAACTGAATCAACATCCCCATTCTCTTCAGGAACATCAACATGAACATCATCCCCATTCCCATCATGCAAATCAACATGACCACCAGCCACAATCACAGGCTGAACAGGCTGACATATAACAGTAATCTCCAGATTTTGCTGGACTACAACTTACTCAGTATTGGTTAGGATTACGGAAGTTGTAACCAAAGACCATAGTTGTCTAGTGCTGGTATGAATGAATGCCACCAAGAATGTATAATGGAAAAAGTAAAAAATGTCAACAGTTGAGGATCTGTGCATTTTCAGGATACACAACTGCTCTTCTTCCCACAGTCTTATCATGGAACGATATCATGTGTTGGAGATGATTGGAGAAGGCTCTTTTGGAAGGGTATATAAGGGACGTCG